TACTTTTACATTAAATAATGAAGTAATTATCTAATAAAGCTAAAAATAATTTTACAAAAGTAAAACTATGGCATAAATCTTTATAAGAAGTTATAAAATATTTATAATAAATATTATAACATTTAAAAATACACACAACACAAAATTTTTATAAAAATAATTTTTTTTGACAAATAAATGCAACTACAATAATTTATAACAGTAGATGTAGATTTGAACAAATTATATTACCGAATACCGAATCTACATTAATTAATTTGATAATTTATATATCTACATTATTAAAAATATTTAAATAAAAAATTATTTATTGAAATAGTTGAAAGTAAGATAAAAGCATCGATACTTGACAAGTACTATAATAAAATTTTTAAAAATAACATATTTAAATATGCAGACATTTTTCAGTCTGATTTGTGATTAAGCAAACAAGCTGTATAGATTTTGTTCATGCCATTTATAAATATTCATTTATGTATGATCTCTTTATTTTAATATTATTCAATTTTGATCGAACACTACGCAATAGTTGTTGAGCTTGCATTGAGCTATTTATAATTTCACTGTTCAAACGCAAACCACAAACACCTGAGGCAAAATCAAGGAAATATTTTGATAAATTATATATTCACAATCATATATATATATATATATATATATATATATATATATATATATACATACTATTTTGTGGACTTTTCAATGAAAAAACTACATTGAATGCAAACATGCCACAATTATACCTATACATACATACAATATATAATTCTAAAAATATGAAATCCTGATAAATACTAAACACAATTTATATAAATTCATGTAAATTTATATAAATTTTCACGTACCAGATCTAATAGATTTAACTGATTTCACTCTTTCAATTTTATTGAAGATCTTTTGTCGCGACAAAACGCGCAAATGCAAAAAAAACAAGGGAAGCTTTCGTTTCCGACATGCGCCGAATTTTTGATACTCAAAAGAATACGTGGTGCGCATACGCGCATGCAAGCGTGAAGATACGGTTGAAGTGCACGCGACAGAAAGTCGAGGGCTATGGATTTTCCTCAGTCGATCTCGATCTTCAAACGTCGCTGCACGTTTTTGCAGCCGACAATCTCGGTCGCGAAGTTTGCTCTTGGCAAAACAATAGTTTCGGCCGGTAATCCCGGACTGTGTTTTTTAATCTGAAAGAACACCCGGGTACGCCGCTGATTACATTGCATAGCAATCTTAGTTTTTATCGCGTCTCGAGATTGGTGGAGGTGTCGACCGTGGATTGTATGTGCACCCTGCTGCAACGGATATCGAGGTCAGACTGAACCGACCTGCATTATATACGTTATCGCGTATAATCTCGAAAAAATAAGAATGCGAGAATCGACAAGAGAAATATACACTTGCATGTACACATCGAACACAAACATAAATAACGATTAATATAAACACGATAAAAATAATTTTTAAATATTATAAAAAAATTAAAACTGCGATACGGAATTATTAATAATTCTCGCAATTATCTATTCTGTATATCAAATTATTAAAATCATCCGTTTAAACTGACGTATGAAACTGACATATTGAAACAGCAGGCTATATCTATCGTCGCAGGTTCAGCGTGCAAATGTCACATTGATATTCTGCGGAAAAAATATTGAGAAAATATTGTGTGCCCAAGCGATAACAGAGGAGCCATAAAAAAATTCGATAGCATCGACTAACGTCAATCGACAGCGGCGACTCGCTGTTTTAATTAATAGTCTAGGAAGGCTGGTATATTGCCAAATGTTACTGGATCGGAAAAACTTCTACATTGCAAAACAGAACACCGATGTACCGCGCCGGCGGCGTGTGACGAATGTTGCTACACCTCTGCAAATCCAGCAACGTAGCGCGTGTGATCTACCGATCCTCATCACGATGAGGATACCTTCAATTTCTCCAAGCACAATAGCTGGAGCCTTAGCGTTTCGTATACCTGGTTAGTAGACTGCAGACACCTGTATTTATCACCTTCCTCCACCCTTCACTGCGGTAATAATTAATTACTCTGAAAGACCTTTTAAGTCGTGTTGGTCGAGACGCGACGTAATTATCGCAAATAGTCTCATAATGACGCAAAATTTATGCATATTGTGACAAACTTATATACCAAGGCGTCATTAAGACAGACCTAATGCGTTCGAAACTTCTCCATAAGTCTTCCGAAGACGGGATTAATGATTTCGACTAAAGTTGTGTCATGTGCGGAATGAATCGATATTTGTACTTCCGTTCCGATATTACTATCATTTCTTACTTTTAAATGCTTCGCATTAATACAAAAATTGATAATGATAATTATTTCCTACAAAATCTTTTTCTAAACTATAAACTCTTTCATCTTTTTAAAAGTGCAATATAGTATTTACGTTTAATTTTCAATAATTCATTTTTTGTTAATTCTCCATATTTCTTTATAAAAAACATTAATTCTGCTAAATCTGCGAATAATGTAATTTGCAAGATTCATGGTCTCATAAATTTGCATTTCTGATTTTTATTTTTTCATTGCAATCTATTTTTTATCAATGTTTAAAATAATCGATATACGCATAAAATCTAGAATGTTGTAATATTATATATAATAGCAGGATATATAATATTACGATCTTCATCCGATGGTTACAAAGTTACGCTAAACAGTTCAGACGAAATCTGGGCCAATTTCTTCTCTGAAAATTGCTCTGCCAGGAGACGGCAAATGAGAATCGATCGTTTCATTAAATCCTCAGTATGGAAAAAAAATCTCTACGGCAAAGTCATTCACGTTGAGACCAATAGAGACACGTCGCTCAGGAAAATAAAGTGCTCAGCGAGAGAGAGAGGGAGAGATTCATACAGTAATGAATTAATCGGATTACGCACAGTTTGCGAGCACAAATTGAAGCATAGATGATAGAAATCAAGGAAACACAAATGCTCCGCTTATCATCAGAGCACATTGATATGTTGTGGTTAAAGAATGCAACATTGAACAATGTTGTTTAACACAGCTTTATGAAATCCTCGAGATAAAAAAAACACGGATTTAAACGAAACGTACGAGAGCGCACAGACACACACACACACATGCACCGTTTTCAATGCGAAGTTAATGGTTTCATAAGTAATGAATGAAAATTACGCTTAAAAGCACACCGATTCTCGTTTCCCGGGCTATCTGGAAAAATACGAGAGCATCGTATTGCGGATTTGATAGCCGAATTAAATTCTGTGAGAGTTATCTGTGAATTGATCGCTCTTAGCTTAGTTTTATGAACATGTAAAATTTAATGAAAAGTTAAATCATCTATATCATCTCGCATTTCCAAATGCTGATTAATTGCATACAATTACGTATAGCGTTTTGCGTAAATTGTACCGAATAATTAAAGCAATAAATTGAAAATAATTGGGAAAACTGTCCAGCTCAAAATGGGAGGAAAGCTGCTTTCACGCATTATTATTATTATTATTATTATTATTATATGTATTGAAAAAGCAAATAATGATAGATTTAAACTACGAAAAAATTATAAAGTATCGTGATTTAAATTTAAAAAATATATTAGTTACCCATTATATTGTTTTATAATATATCTTCTAATCATACTTTTATAAAATATATTCCAATACTCTAATTTTCTTCATCGATTACATTTAGTTAAGTGCATCTAATTAAAACAGATGTAGCTAAAATTAAAATAGAGGGAGGAGTAGAAGAGTTTGATTATATTTATAACACATACAGACACATACATATTGCGAAGTATTTTAATTATTTACTTCATTTCTCGTGAGCATTGTAATTTTCTCTCTCTCTCTCTCTCTCTCTCTCTCTCTCTCTCTCTTCTTCCGATCTCCCTCCATCCCTCCCTCCCTCTCTTTCTCTCCCTTTCTTGTGTCATATCGATCGAAAAAGTAATCTAACCCGTCAATGAGAAAAATCGCGGCAACGAGATGGACATCCCATCTTTTGAAACGATGCATACGCATTACTCGTCGCTCTCTTGGACAGATTCATTCACTCGCCGTCTGATTCGTTTATTCGCTGCCGTAGCCAATATTTCATTACCGCTATTTCATTTCCCGATTTCATAGTTACAAGAGATCGAGATATATAATAAGTATTATTTATTCAAATATAATTACCTATCTATATATTTTTGTTTGCCTGATTGTTCTTTTCTGCGATAATTATTGAAAATAATACAAAATTAATGAGAAAGATACTCTTCATAAAAGTAGAACTAAAATTGTTTGTGAGCTGTGTAATTTATGCGTTATTTCATAAAGCACTTTGATTTTGAGACACAATCATAAGTTCAAATATAATGCACTTTGCATTACATCTTTTGTATTGTATGTTTCTTTTTGTTATAAGTTTATTACAAACATTTTTTTATATCTCAATGCATACATTATTAAAAAGTCTAAAAAGCCACAGTTTTGCAACAGAATAGAATAGTTCAACTTGTATTTAGTATTTGTGGTTTCACATTTGTTATTTACGGCATGAAAAACCTTGAAAATATTGAGAACACTGTTGCAGCCTGTTAAATTGTTTATTAATTTCATGGATGTTGAATGCGGTAACTTTAATTGATAAAGACCAGGGGCGTAGCATTGCACGAGTTGGATCCATTAATAATCACGTAAAATAACGAGAAAATGTACCAATGTTATATGTTATATACCACAACTCGATGAAAAAGATTTAATTTCCGATACTGTATCATGCGTGGTTAGTTTTGTAACGACGTCATTTCCATCGCAATAATACTTTGTTCCCGCATGGATATCTCGTTAAAAAAATCACCACTAATGAAGGTGTAAATAGGCATATTCATTGAACCAGTACATGATAAAAAGCTAATGATATTCCTGCGTCAACGGGAAATGCACATCTCTAAATTATATGATGAATGAATATCGGCAGCGCAATAATAATCAACTACATTGTCTAGAAAGTTACTCACCAGTTTTCACAGTTGGAGACGCCGACAGTTGTGCGCACAGAACATGCGTGCCGCCTAAGAGCGCCAGAATGACACGAAAAAACTTCATACTGATCATCGTGAGTGGCAATTTCATCAGAACCCTGAAATACATAAAGTAACCATTTCTTTTACTATCTATATAACTGACAGTTGTGCTTAATATAAAGAATAAGAACGAAAGATTTACCATATTATAATTAAAAGAGATGAATCAAGACCGATTAAAGCGTAATAAGTCTTACTGTGTTGATAGATAATCCATTTATCTCTATTCATCTTATATATAATCAGTTTAGAAAGTTGGAAATATGATTACATTTGTATAATTAATATTTATATATATGTAAAATATAAAAATTATATATATAAATGTATTTATTATGTTTTTTCTCAATTTACATACTTTTATATTTAATTGTATATTGTTGTATATTAATTTTGATAACTGTCAAATTTTCAATAATTTCTCAATGATAGATCTATACACACTTGTCGAGATTCAATTGATTTATCACTAAGAAGACGCAATAAATTTCGAATAAATCAATTGTAGAATAAGTGCTACAAAATAGGTTTTCAAATAGGTGCTATATTTATATCTTATATATTTTTAAAAAGATCTTTCTACAATCATTCTTACAGACAAAAATATATTAGATAATCATATTGTTCATTACTTGTTGCAATCTACTCGAGATATGGTAAATCGCCTTCATTACAATATTTTGCACCAAGTTGAAACACCGTCGCTTTCCTTTTTTCCCTCCACGTGATAGCGCCACAAGGGGAGAAAAATAGTGAAACAACGATAGCGTCGTCTCATCGCGAAATGAGATTCTGATACCGCAATTCGATCGCTGTGTGTTGTCGCTGCGGGAGCGTAATAAGGATGTGACGGGGCGGTAAATGCGAAACCGGGTGTGAAACGCGAGCGCGCTAAGATTTATCGGAAATTAATATGCTCCGAAGCATGGGGCGAGAGAAATACCTGCGCGTCGTTTATGGAATGCGCGGAACGAGGATAGGAAGAGAATTTAAAATAGATTTGCTCGAGCGAGAAAAAGAAAAATACTCGTCGTCATTGTCTGTTCTCCTGCGGGACTTATCATCGCTGAGATAACAACGAGCTTGCGGAACGAGCCATACAAAAGCGAGCTAAGGCACATTGATGGTGGCTGTTAAGAGGATGGAGGCAGAAACTCGCGGCCGGGGTGGATCTTCCTATCCTCACTGACAGTGGGAGATCGAGCAATTGTATATCCCGGCAACCCCGAACCGGCACACGAACCGCCAACTACCATCGACTTTCGGATCCGCACGAACTGATCCACAGAATGGGATAGATTGCAGATAAGTAGCGATCTTGTTTCTCTCAGTTCAGCAACATCGGCCCGACCCGGCTTAAAACGACAGAAGTCGAGTAGTGCGACTTCGAGCGTGAATCAATGCGGTCTCGCATATCGGGTGTGTGTGTTGGAAAACGAACCGAGTGGCTGCGGTAGTAATAGTGGTAGTAGTAGTGGAGATGCTGTTCAATAAACTTGACAATTCAACGCTTTATATAACTAACCATATTTTTAAATGCCGTATTTTTGGAATAATAATTTTGATTTAGAGAATTTTCAATGCACTGTGCTTGCTTTAATATATAATATTTCGAAAAATTATGAGAATTTTATAACGCGTTATTCTTCAATTTACGGGAATATCGATAAGTAACGTCATAGCCAATATAGGCACTTGCATGCATGATCAAATCCTTTCACACAAAATCGAGTATTAATTCGCTAAAAATGCGTATTAACGCGCGGCGAAGTTATATATTCGCAATTAATTCGCTGATCGATTATTCACGCGATATCCTCCATTAGCGGAATGATTTATCACTTGGACGAGAGATATTACATTCAAATTTCATTACTTTAATATGAAAATTGAACCTTTAATGGCCACACATATGCCGCGCCATATATACGCCGATGGTAAGAAGTCGATAAATAAAACCAAAGCCAAATCTTCCCTTTCGTCTTCCCTGCCCTTAGAGATCGTCTAAATCTACCGACCGCTCGGTCGTATCAGGAACTCATTCCACAGAGAGACGATTTCCCACTCTTCCGGCGCGCCGAAACCCTGAGGAAAAAATGACGTAGACGAAGCACCGGTGAACTTTGTAAAATACGAGTGCAACCGGTACCGCGCGATGCACTTCGTGTGCATCGCCGTGGGCGCTTGCATTCGTGACGGATCTACTCGCCGAGCAATCCGAGCAGAGTTTCACACACGGCCGACGCGAACGCGTGTCGACGATTTATCGCATTGCCGTTATGTGTGTGTGTGTGTGTGTGTGTGTGTGTGTGTGTGTGTGTATGTACCGGTACTGTCGTAGGAAAGCGCATACATCTGCAATAAATAGAGGGAGTGCATGGAATCACCTCGAGCGCTACCACTCGCTCGCCATCGAGTGACGAAACCCCGCTCGCATATCAAAGATCTTTTTGGTATATTAGCTCCAAATTGTGTTGATTGTGTTTGTTGCCATTGTTCGCATCTGGAATATGGATTAAACCGAGGAGAGAATATACGAGGGATCCATTTCTAAAGGGATAGATTATTTGGAAATCCAATAAGTTATTAAGCACCAAATAAAAAAAAGATATTAATACACGTTCAAGATATGCAAAATATAATAATATAATTATAAATAATATAATTATAAAAAATATAATTATAAAATTTTCTTTTTTCTTATTTAATTAAGGAAAAAGATTTGTCCAAAATAAAAAAATATATCTCTCTAATACGAAATCATATCTAGATAAATGTATTCTTTTGTAGTATATGTATAATTCTTCGATTTTTCTTTATGATTATTTCGATTGCAAGATTAAAGAATATGAAAGTCGATTGGCGATGAAAGGTTTGTGAGTAATGGGTATAACCGGGCTTCATTTATGTATGTACCGACCTAGAGGAAGATCGTCGAGCAATAAAATCGTCCGGAGACTATAAATCAGCAAGATGGGCAAAAAATTATGCGGTAAAGTACTTTCGTTTTACTAGAAAGGAGAGCCCCTCTGAACAGAGAAATTTACATTTTTTCCCTGCTTACCTCGCAAAAGCGAAAACATTTCAACGTTACGGATGAAGAATGTTCTTACTAATATATCATCATATTGTGTATATTATGCTAATGCATAAATAATGATTGCTCAATCAACTTGCACAGCATTGATCTCATAAACTTATATATAATCTTTTTCCTTCCAATGTCGAGCAAAAAAGACAACCTCTGAACTAGTGTGATCAGTGTAGCCAAAACGAACAGAACTATATAGTATATTGCCCTCCGGGCAGGATTATCTTTGCAGAGCGGTAAGGATTACATCATTCAGGTGCGTATTATATATATATGTAATAATCGTAATTTGGTTTAAGAATAAAAGAAGCTCACACTCAACTCTTTATAGATCGAACAGTTTGGCATCAAGTAATGTATGAGCGGTTTCCAAGTATCAGACATGAATCAGAATGGATTGAAATGAATTCTAGGCGATGCATTTCTTGACATTTATTACACAGTTTTCGATATGGGCAATGATCAAGTACGATTTGCTGTAGTAAAATAAACATTGATTTTCTAGTAATTACTGTTAGACATTATTTTTTTTAATGACAAACCTGCAACTAATTAAGTTTTTTGTATCATATTTAATGCTTATTATTAAGTAATTTTTAAATTATCCGGTACATTGTTATAGGTAAACATATGTATCATATTTTCAAAAATTAAAATAAAGATATATAAGCGATATCTTCTACGAATAATTTAAATTATTTTTATATCAAGATTATATAATATATTATATTAACATTTGACATACACATATTCTGAATATAAATAAATAAGTTAAAATAAGATATATGTGTATTCTTTTTATACAATACATGTATACTAATATCTAAAATTTCCAATTAAAATACAATTTTATTTATTTTATTACATTAAATAAAAGAATATCATATCTCGTTGTATGTATCTCATGTGTTTGTAATCATTCATTCCTATTAAAATTTATTCATTAAATATAAAAACTTTAATTTTCCTCAATGCTTGCTTAATAAATTTATATATTATCAACATAACTTTTTGCATTCTTTGTACTAATTATGTTTAATATCCTTAAATATTGCACTACTTTTATTGTAAAAAGAAATATCCTTGTCGTCTATTAATTAAGCATTAAGAATATATTTTTGCGAAGAGATAATTGCTTTTTTCATTAATTATTGATAATTTTGTTAAAATACACGTTGTGTTAATTAAAAAGGCATGACCAAAAATATATGTTTAAATTAAATTGATCAACAGAACACTATCGGAAATCTTTCAAAATTTTGTGTGTCGTTACCAATCTCTCCCCGCTCAAGCATTCAATAAGCGCCTTGCGATCATATATATAAGCCCCTGAATATCGACACAAGGTTAGTATAAGAGTGTTAGTAATCGACAACGCTTTATTTTGCTGTGTCCGGTCATAAGGTAGAAATTCGTCGCTGCAGATTTTGTTATTCGAAGTTCCAATTGCAAGTAAATTCACAAAAATGTTTCGCATTTTTATGCTAGTCGCAACAATTCTTGTGATGATCGCCGCGCAACGGCCGAGGTAAATGCATATTGCATTGCGTTATATGATATGATAAATATTGAGATTATAGAGATGATTCTTTTTTTCGTAATTGCATCTGATTTTTTGGATTTGAAGCAAAACTTGTGTGAACGCAATTAACGTTTTAATAACAATTAGACCAAATTATTTTACAAAAGTATATTTTTATTTATTAGTAAAAAGATGGAGACACAGAATGTTACAAAAAAAAATGATTCTTTGTGAATTCGCAAAATTTGTATGTCTATCTTATAGTTTTGGTCTACATTTAATTATCATTAATGTACATGTATTATGATTTGAGATAAAAACAATTAAGTATAAGTTATTTTGTCACGCGTAAACAAACTCTCAGTACCAATGCGTTGTTTTGTACTGTTTGTTTACTCAGGTCTGAGTATATATACTGCTTTTAGAATATTATTTTATTTAAAGTCATCTTCTTGTGCCAAATTGTATGCAATACGTTTTTGTCCAAAATATCAAAGTCTTCTAAGTTATAATGATTTTATTTTATATATATAATACTTTAGCCATTAAGTAAATATTATTTTAAATATATATAAAATGCATAAATCAAATAGATAATCTAGAAAAATCGGGAGTTAATAAATGTTTCTGATATATCTAATACATAAAATGTATTGTGTAAAATAAGTAAACTAAAACAGAATGTTCTTTATATTATTTCAAGGATTTTATTACACAAGATGGATTCTATTCGATACACTTTAACCAACGGTGGCCATGACTTTCCAATAGTTCCTATAGTTTCTTCTAAGGTGTCTTTATACAAATATTTAGATGCTCAATATTATGGTCTTATTACTATTGGAACTCCGCCGCAGGAATTTAAAGTAATATTTGATACTGATTCCTCAAATCTTTGGATATCATCCGAAAAGTGCATCCTTCACAACATCGGTTGCAGTAAGTAATATATTAATATATACAGGGTGTCTAATATAAGGTGTCACACCGAAAATATACAAGTAGATCTTGTTATTTAAAGATAATTTTTCTTTTGCAATTACTTAAAAAATTATTTTATTTTTAAAATTTCCCTATTGCGATAATTTCTGATATTACTTTCGATTTTTTACAGTATTCCCTAACAAATATGATAGTAAAAAATCCTGTACATATATACAAAATGGTACTGCGATTAAGATTCCATGTGGCGGAAACTCTATGACCGGAATTTTATCTACTGATGTAGTGAATGTAAGTAATATTAAAACAATAATGCCAATTTAATCAAAGTAATCATAGTTTATAAACCCTTTTCAAGTATTTTTACACACTACCATTCTCGTGATATTTTATTATTAATATACGAAATTATTTCTAGATTGCCGGTTTCAATGTTCAAAATCAGACATTTGCGGAAGCAATGCACGATCAAAGCGAAGCGTTCATGTATGCAAAATTTGATGGTATGATGGGCATGCGTTTTAACATGTCATACATCAACGAAGTAATACCTGTGTTCCACAATCTAGTAAAACGACGCCTAATGTCATCAGCCATTTTCAGTTTTTATTTGAATAAGTATGCATTTTTTTCATGCATTGCGTATGTCTAAAAACGTTTTTAACAATATATATATATATATATATATATATATATATATATATTACAATATGAAAATTATACAACCTGCGCAGAGATTTGTCGGCCAAAGTCGGTGGTGCATTAATATTAGGTGGTGCCGATCCGAATTATTACGTAGGCAACTTGACGTATGTTCCTGTTAGTAAGAAGGGATCCTGGCAATTTACTATAGATAAGTACGTTCTTTTCTAAATTATTCTCATAATTATAATTACAATAAACTGTTAATATTATTATTGTGCTGTAGGATCACAATACATCGTCATATCTTAGACGAGAAAGGCTATCCAGCAATACATGAACATATCTTGTGCCCGAATGGCTGTCAAGCTATCGTTAATCCAGGTACTTCATCAATATATGGGCCAACTAGTGACGTCTCCATTATTAATCAACTTCTTGGAACTGTTTATTATTACAAAAAGGGAGAGCATAGAGTAAGTAAACAATTATACATTTCACAATAACATAGCTATTTGTAGAAAAATTATAAAAAGTTACTAAAATATAAATTGATATTTGTGTTGTGACTTGCTATTTCTTAATTTGATATTCTCTTTTGTTTAAAGACATTCTGCACCACGGAAAACTCTGATAATATCCCAGTAATCAATTTTATTATAGGTGGAAAAATGTTCGATCTTACCAGTCAGGATTACCTCTTACAGGTGAATTATAGATCCAATAATAGATTTAAACCCAGAAATAATTGTCAAATTGACGTTAATTTGACAATTATTGCAGGCTAGAAAATTATTTAAATTTAGAAAACTTACATTTTTGTGTGTGCTTCAATCTGTACAGGTGTCAAGAAATGATAACACGACTTGTAGAAGCGGTTTTATAAGGCATAGCACTACATCTTGGATTCTAGGCGATATATTTATTAGACGTTATTACAGTGTCTTTAATTTTGAAAAAGGCCGAATGGGATTTGTACCAGCAAGATAAATGTCGATTGCTATTTCTTAAAATAATATAATAAAAGACATCGCATTTAAATGATCCGCGATTAATTTAATAACTTTTTTATAGTTTTTAATGTTTATTGACTATAGTAATTTTTTATTTATAGTTATGTGATACATTGTTATAAACGGATTTATTTGTTTTGGAGAATTGAAATGAGGATATATATGGAAATATTTTCCATTTTCAATTTGATATATTTTCTTTCAATTTACGCACTGTATTGTTCCATTTCTGAACCCAAATGAATTTAAAAAAATGTATTTTTCCATATACTTTATATATATATATATATATATATATATATATATATATATATAATTATTAATTTATATATATAAATAATTTTTAATTTCTTAAATTCTTTTGTTTTTTTCTGTCTTATTGTGTTATTATAATCGTATTTATTACTTTTCCTGTGCTTTCTAACATATATTATAAGATTTCCAAGATTTGGCAAAGTATCTAAAGCCATACTGTGGAATGTAACGATTCTAACTTTTGGAATTCATGCTTGGAATTCATAACGCAATACATAAACCAAATCTCAGGCAGCATTTAACACATTCTTTGTGTTTTAGTATATTTAATTTTGAGTGTCCGAAAGTTCTAGGCAACGTTAAACAGTGCCAACGACAGACAGGTCGGTCCAGCTTTTGTAAACTATGTTATCGGTTTATGTCGAAAAAGAGTTTCAATATGGAAAATGATCAAGTAGGATTTCCGTAGCAAAATAAACATCGATTCCTTTTTCTTGTAATTAGTGTTAGACATTATTCTTTTTTAATGGCAATCTTGCAACCAAGTAAGTATTCTTTGTATCACTTTTATTGTTTATTGTTGAGTAATTTTTAATTTATCCGGTACATTATAGGTAAATGTCATATTTTCAAAAATTAAAATATATATATATATATATATGCGATATCTTCTACCAATAATTTAAATTATTTTTTATATCAAGATATATAATATATTAAGAATATATTTTTACGAAAAGATAATTGCTTTTTTCATTAATTATTGATAATTTAAAAAGACACGTTGTATTAATTAAAGAGACGTACCAAAAATATATGTTTAAATTAAATTGATTAATAAGACTCTATCGGAATTCTTTTCAAATGTTCTGTGTGTCGTTACTAATCTCTCCCCGCTCAAGCATTCAATAAGAGTTTTGCGATCATATATATAAGCCCCTGAATATCGATACAAGGTTAGTATAAGAGTGTTAGCAATCGACAACGGCTTTATTTCGCTGTGTCCGATCATAAGGTAGAAATTTGTCGCTGGAAATTTCATGATTCGATATTCCAAACGCAAGTAAATTTGCAAACATGTTTCGCATTTTTATGCTAGTTGCAACAATCTTTGTGATGATCGATGCGCAATTGAAGAGGTAAGTACATATTGCATTGCATTATATCATATGTTAAATATTGAGATTATAGAGATGATTTTCGTATTTCCATCTAATTTTCTGGATTTGAAATAAAGCTGGTATGAATACAATTAACGTTTGAATAACGATTGGACGAAATTATTTTACACAAATGTATTTTTATTTATTTATTAGTAAAAAATAGAAATATAGAATGTTTTATGAAAATTGATTCTTTGTGAATTTGCAAAAATTGTCTGTCTACCCTACAGTTTTGGTCTACATTTAATTGTCATTAACGTACATGTATTATGATTCGAGATCAAAACACTTTAGTATAAATTATTTTTTCACGCGTAAGCAAATAAACTCTCAGTACCAATGCGTTGTTTTGTACTGTTTGTTTACTCAGCTCTGAGTATATATTCTGCTTTGAAAACATTATTTTATTTGGAGTTATGTTCTTCTTTTAAGTTATAATGACTTAATTTTATAAATATATAATAGTTGAGCCATAAAGTAAATATTATTTCAAATATGCAGGGTGTCCTATAAGAAATTGCTGAAACTAATCAGCTATCATTTTTTAGTGCATGCAGTTATTGAGAAAACAAAAATTGTGTTGAAAAGAGGAAACTCTGCAGTTATTAATGGATATAAATAAAATATCTGTATAATTGTTTATTTTATTGAAAAGAAGTAATGAAAAAAGTGCTAATAGTCTTATATGTAAACTAATGATAAATATTTTCAAAATGCGCACCATTTGAATTGGTAAAAAATTCTGTTTTTTTTTTTATGAAAACTTGTAAAAACTTTTTCTAACATTAAAAATACAAATCAACGCTCGTGTAAAATGTAAAATTAATAAAACATATTTTTATTTCGGCTCGTATATTTGGCCTACTTTTCTAACATTGTAATTTTTAATATTATTAATGATCTTTTTAATAGCTGCTATTAAATCTGGCACTGTTGAAAATATTTATCATTAGTTTATATGATTTTATGTAATTATTAGCACTTTTTTCATTACCCTTATCAATAACATAAACTATTATACAAATATTTATATCCATTAAAAACTGCAGACTTTCTTCTGTCAAAAACAATTTTAGTTTTCTCAATAATTGCATATATTAAAAAATGACAACTGATTAATTTCAGCAATTTCCTATGAAACTTGCTGTACATGAAACGCATAAATCATATAGGTAATCTAAAAAATCGTGGAGTTAATAAATGTTTCTTATATAGCTAATGCATAAAAAGTTTTGTGTAAAATATGTAAACTATAACAGAATGTTCTTTATATTTCAAGGATTTTATTACACAAGATGGATTCTATTCGATACATTGTGAATAACGGTGACTACGGTAATCTTCCAGTAATTTTATAGACGACTCTAGAATGTCTTCATACAAATATTTAGATGCTCAGTACTATGGTCTTATTACTATCGGAACTCCGCCGCAGGAATTTAAAGTAATAATTGACACTGATTTCTCAAATCTATGGATATCATCCCAAAAGTGTACAAATTTCAACATTGGTTGCTGTAAGTAATTTATTAATATATACAAGGTATCTGATATAAGGTGTCACACCAAAAATATACAAATAGATCTTGTTATTTAGAGATAATTTTTCCTTAGTAATTATTTAAGAAATTTTTTTATATTTAAAATGCCCCTAATGCGATAATTTTTGATATTACTTTCTATTTTTTACAGCAAACCGTACCACATATGATAGCAAAAAATCCAGTACATATATACAAAATGATAATGCGCTTCAGATTCCATGTGGCAGGGAATCTATAGCTGGATTTTTATCTACTGATGTAGTGAGTGTAAGTAATAATTAAACAAATAGGCCAAATTTAATCATCTACAATTATAGTTTATAAACCTTTTTCGAGTATTTTTATACACTGCATTCTCGTGATGTTTTATTATTAATATACGAAATTATTTCTAGATTGCCGGTCTCAATGTTCAAAATCAAACATTTGCGGAAGCAAAACATCTTCTCAGCGTTGCGTTCATGTATGGAAAATTTAATGGTATCTTGGGCATGGGTTTTAACGTGTCATACGTCAAGGAAGTAAAACCTGTACTTTACAATATAGTGAAACAAGGCCTGGTATCATCAGCCGTTTTCAGCTTTTATTTGAATAAGTATGCATTTTCTTTTCATGCATTGCGTATGTATAAAAATGCTTTTTACAAAAATTATATGTATTACAATATACAACCTGCGCAGAGATTTGTCGGCCGAAGTCGGTGGTGAATTAATATTGGGTGGTACCGATCCCGATTATTACGAAGGCGAGTTGACGTATGTTCCTGTTAGTAAAAAGGGATACTGGGAATTTACTATAAATGAGTACGTTATTTTCTAAATTATTATCATGATTATAATTACAACAAATTGTTAATATTATTATTGTGCTGTAGAATCACAATACATCATCATATCTTGTACGCGGATGGCCATCAAGCAATATGTAAACATATCTTGTGCGCGGGTGGCTGTCAAGCTATCGCTAGTACAAGTACCTCATCAATATATGGACCAACTAGAGACATCTCAATTATTAATGAACTTATTGGAACTATTCATTGGAACAATAAAGGAGAGGATAGAGTAAGTAAATAATTATATTTTTTACATAGCTATCTGTAGAAAAATTATAAAATGTTACTAAAATATAAATTGATATTAGTGTTGTGAGTTGCTATTTCTTAATTTGATATTCTCTTTTCTTTAAAGGTAAACTGCAACAAAATAAACTCTGCTGAGATGCCAGTAATCAGTTTCATTATAGGTAGTAAAATGTTCAATCTTACCAGTCAGGATTACATCCAATCGGTGAATATTATAGATCCAATAATAGATTTAAACCCAGAAATGATTGTCGAATTGACATTGATTTGATAATTATTTTTGGCTAGAAAATTATTTAAATTTAAAAAACTTACATTTTTGTGTGTGTTTCCATCTGTACAGGTGTTAACAAAAGATAGCACGACGTGTAGAAGCAATTTTGTATCCCGAAACACTACAAATATATCTTGGATTCTAGGCGATATATTTCTTAGACAGTATTATAGTGTATTTGATTTTGAAAAAGGCCGAGTGGGATTTGCCCCAGCGAAATAAATGTCGATTGCTAATTCTTAAAATTATGTAATAAAAGACATCGCATTAAAATGATAACTTCGCGATTAATTTAGTAACGTTTTTATAATTTTTTAAAAAGTTTATTGACTAGCAATTTTTTATTTATAGTTATATGATACATTGTTATAAACGGATTTATTTGTTTTGGAGAATTGAAATAAGGTTAAATGTGGAAAATATTTTCCATTTTTAATTTGATATGTTTTCTTTCAATTCACACACTGTATTGTTATATTTCTGAACACAAATAAATTTTTAAAAATGTATTCTTCTATATACTTTATATATATATATATATAAACGTATCTATATAATTACATACATTTATTCAAATAATTTTTAATTTCTTAAATACTCTTGTCTTTTTCTGCCTCTTTATGTTATTATAATTGTATTTATTACTTTTCCTGTGCTCTCTAATATATATTATACCATAAGATTTCCGAGACTTAGCAAAGTATCTAATGCCATACTCTGGGATGTAACGATTCTAACTTTTGGCATTCATGCGTGGAATTCATAATGCGATATATAAACCGAATCTCAGGCAGCAGTTAACACAATCTTTGTGTTTTAGTTTATTTAATTATGAGTGTCCTTAAGTTCTGAGCAACGTTTAACCGTGCCAACGACAGACAGGTCGGTCCAGCTTCTGCAAAGTACTACGTTATCGATTTATACCGAGAAAAAGTTTTGATATGGGCAATGATCAAATAAGATTTCCGTAGCAAAATAAACATCGATTTTCTTTTAATTAGACATTATTTTTTTAAATAAAAATCTTGCAACTAATTAAGTTTTCTTTGTCTCACTTTTAATACTTATTGTTTCGTCATTTTTAATTTATCTGGTACATTGTTATAGGTAAATAAATCATATTTTCAAGAATTAAAATAAAAATATGTGTGCGATATCTTCAACGAATAATTTAAATTATCTTTTATACCAAGATATATAATATATTATATTAACATTTTACATATACATATTTTGAATATAAATAAATAAATTTAACGTATAAGACGGGCAACAAGAGCCAAATCGCGGATGACAATGCGTTATCCTAACGAAACTAAATAATTTTTCGTTAGAATTAATACCGGTGCACAAGGCACCAAATTTTTACTTGGACACGGCCAAGATTTTAAATATGAAATAATCTCATATTTTGAGATTTAATTTCAATACCCCTTTAACCCCCCTACGGAAAATAAATAAATGAATGCAAGAGAAAATATAGATCCGAAAATCGCTGAATCGGGAATCGAACCCGAGACCTTTCGCTTGCCGGGCGACTGCTCTTCCAGCAGAGCTATTCAGATCCTTTCGATTCTATACTTTTCTCTGTTATATATATTAATGTTGGTAAACAAACGCATTTTTTAAGCCAGCGTGTATCAAATATAAGAGTTTTAACAAGGCTCTGTAATATAAATATAAATTTAACGTATAAGACGGGCAACAAGAGCCAAATCGCGGATGACAATGCGTTATCCTAACGAAACTAAATAATTTTTCGTTAGAATTAAATACCGGTGCACAAGGCACCAAATTTTTACTTGGACACGGCCAAGATTTTAAATATGAAATAATCTCATATTTTGAGATTTAATTTCAATACCCCTTTAACCCCCCTACGGAAAATAAATAAATGAATGCAAGAGAAAAATATAGATCCGAAAATCGCTGAATCGGGAATCGAACCCGAGACCTTTCGCTTGCCGGGCGACTGCTCTTCCAGCAAATTATTTAGTTTCGTTAGGATAACGCATTGTCATCCGCGATTTGGCTCTTGTTGCCCGTCTTATACGTTAATTTATATTTATATTACAGAGCCTTGTTAAAACTCTTATATAAATAAATAAGTTAAAATAAAATATATATGTGTATTCCTTTTATACTATATATGTATACTAATATCTAAAATTTCCAATTGAAATCAAATTTTATATATTTTATTACATTAAATAAAAGACTATCATATTTCGTTGAATATATCTCATGTGTTTGTAATTATTCATTCCTATTAAAATTTATTTATTAAATAAAAAAAACTTCGATTTTCCTCAATGCTTGCTTAATAAATTTATATATTATCAACATAATTTTTTTCATTATTTGTGCTAATTATGTTTTGTATCCCTAAATATTGCACTACTTTTATTGTAAAAATAAATGGGATCGTCGTCTATTAACTAAGAATTAAAAATATATTTTTGCGAAGAGATAATTGCTTTTTTCATTAATTATTTATAATTTTGTTAAAATACACGTTGTATCAAGTAAAAAAACATGACCAAAAATATATGTTTAAATTAAATTGATCAACAGAACACTATCGGAAATCTTTTTCAATGTTTTGTGTGTCGTTACCAATCTCTCCCCGCGCTCAAGCATTCAATAAGCGCCTTGCGATCATATTTATAAGCCCCTGAACATCGACACAAGGTTAGTATAAAAGTGTTAGCAATTAATAACACTTTATTTCGCTGTGTCCGATCATAAGGTAGAAATTTGTCGCTGGAAATTTCATGATTCAAAATTCCAAACGCAAGTAAATTCGCAAACATGTTTCGCATTTTTATGCTAGTTGCAACAATCTTTGTGATGATCGATGCGCAATTGAAGAGGTAAGTGCATATTGCATTGCATTATATCATATGTTAAATATTGAGATTATAGAGATGATTATCGTATTTGCATCTAATTTTCTGGATTTGAAATGAAGCTGATATGAATGCAATTAACGTTTGAATAACGATTGGACGAAATTATTTTACACAAATGTATTTTTATTTATTTATTAGTAAAAGATAAAGATATAGAATGTTTTATGAAAATTGATTCTTTGTGAATTTGCAAAAATTGTCTGTCTACCCTACAGTTTTGATCTACATTTAATTCATTAACGTACATGTATTATAATTCGAGATAAAAACACTTAAGTATAAGTTATTTTTTCACGCGTAAGCTATAAACTCTCAGTACCAATGCGTTGTTTTGTACTGTTTGTTTACTCAGGTCTGAGTATATATACTGCTTTTAGAATATTATTTTATTTAAAGTCATCTTCTTGTGCCACATTGTATGCAATACGTTTTTGTCCAAAATATCAAAGTCTTCTAAGTTATAATGATTTTATTTTATATATATAATTCTTGAGCCATTAAGTAAATATTATTTCAAATTTATATAAAACGCATAAATCATATAGGTAATCTAGAAAAATCGGGGAATTAATAAATGTTTCTGATATAGCTAATGCATAAAATGTATTGTGTAAAATATATAAACTAAAACAAAATGTTCTATATATTATTTCAAGGATGTTATTACACAAAATGGATTCTATTCGATACACTTTGAACAACTATAACACCGGTAACCTTACAGTAGCTTCTATAAACGATTCGAAGGTGTCTTCATACAAATATTTAGATACTCAGTATTATGGTCTTATTACTATTGGAACTCCGCCGCAGGAATTTAAAGTAATATTTGATACTGATTACTCAAATTTTTGGATATCATCCACAAAGTGCATCTATTTGAACATTGGTTGCTGTAAGTAATTTATTAATATACACAGAGTGTCTGATTTAAGGTGTCACATCGAAAATATACAAGTAGATCTTGTTATTTAAAAATAATATTTCTCCTGCAATTATTTTAAAAATTTTTTGTTTTTAAAATGTCCATATTGCGATAATTTTTGATATTAATTTATATTTTTTATAGTATTACATAGCAATAAATATGATAGTAAAAAATCCAGTACATATGTACGAAATCATGTTGCGATTAATATTCCATGTGGCAGAGACTCTATGGCCGGATTTTTATCTACTGATGTAGTGAGTGTAAGTAATAATTAAACAAATATGCCAATTTAATCAAAGTAATCATAGTTTATAAACCTTTTTCAAGTATTTTTATACACCACCATTCTCGTGATATTTTATTATTAAAAAACCAAATTATATATATATATATATTTTTTTTTTTTTTTTTTTTTTTTTTTTTTTAGATAGCCGGTCTTAATGTTCAAAATCAAAAATTTGTGGAACCAGTACAATTTCGAAGCGCTGCGTTCGTGTATGCAAAATTTGATGGTATGTTGGGCATGGGTTTTAACATGTTATACGGGAACGAAGAACCTGTGTTCAACAATATAGTGGAACAAGGCCTGATATCATCAGCCGTTTTCAGTTTTTATTTGAATAAGTATGCATTTTCTTTTCATGCATTGAGTATGTCTAAAAATGTTTTTAACAATATATATATATATATATATATATATATTATATATATTACAATATAAAAAATATACAACTTGCGCAGAAATTTGTCGGCTAAGGTCGATGGTGAATTAATATTGGGTGGTACCGATCCCGATTATTACGAAGGCGAGTTGATGTATGTTCCGATTAGTAAGACGGGATACTGGCAATTTACTATAGATAAGTACGTTATTTTGTACAGTATTCTCATAATCATAATTACAACAAACTGTTAATATTATTATTGTGCTGTAGGATTAAAGTATTGTCATATTATATCGTGTACGGGAATGACTATCCAGTAAATGGACATATCTTGTGCCCAGATGGCTGTCAAGCTATCGCTAATACAGGTACCTCATCAATATATGGACCAACTAGTGATATTTCAATTATTAATCAACTTATTGGAACTATTTTCAGTAATGGAGAACGTAGAGTAAGTAAACAATTATACTCTTCACAATGACATAATTATCTTTAGAAAAATTATAAAAAGTTACTAAAATATAAATTGATATTTGTGTTGTGTGAATTGCTATTTCTTAATTTGATATTCTCTTTTGTTTCAAGACACTCTGTGCCGTGAAAGACTCTGCTAATATGCCAGTAATCAGTTTTATTATAGGTGGTAAAATGTTCAATCTTACCAGTGAGGATTACATCCAACCGGTGAATATTATAGATCCTATAATAAATTTAAACCTAGAAATGATTATCAAATCAACTTTCATTTGACAATTATTTCTGGCTAGAAAATTATTTAAATTTAGAAAACTTACAATTTATGTACGTGCTTCAATCTGTACAGGTGTCAAGAAAAAATCACATGATCTGTAGAAGCGGTTTTGTAGCGCAAGACACTACATTTTGGACTCTAGGCGATATATTTCTTAGACGTTATTATAGTGTGTTTGATTTTGAAAAAGGCCGAGTAGGATTTGCCCCAGCAAAATAAATGTCGATTGCTATTTCTTAAAATTATATAATAAAAGACATCGCATTTAAATGATAACTTTGCGATTAATTTAGTAACTTTTTTATAGTTTTTTAATGTTTTCTGACTAGTACTTTTTTATTTATAGTTATGTGATACATTATTATAAACGGATTTATTTGTTTTGAAGAATTGAAATAAGGATATATATATAGAAAATATTTTCCATTTTTAATTTGATATATTTTCTTTTAATACACGCACTGTATTGATATATTTCTGAACACAAATAAACTTTTAAAATTGTATTTTTCCATATACTTTATATATATATATATATATATATATATAAACGTATCTATATAATTACATACGTTCATTTAAATAATTTTTAATTACTTAAATTTTCTTGTCTCTTTCTGCCTCTTTATGTTATTAAAATTGTATTTATTAATTTTCCTGTGTTCTCTAACATATATTATAACATTTCCGAGATTTTGCAAAATATCTAAAGCCGTACTCTGGGGTGAAACGATTCTAACTTTTGGAATTCATGCTTGAAATTTATAACGCAATACATAAATCGAATCTCAAAAAGCATTTAACACAATCTTTGCGTTCTAGTTTATTTAACTTTGAGTGTCCGAAAGTTTTAGGCAACGTTAAACAGTGCCAACGACAGACAGGTTTATGTCGAAAAAGCGTTTCGATATGGAAATGATCAAGTAAAATTTCCGTAGCAAAATAAACATCCATTCCTTTTTCTTGTAATTAGTGTTAGGCATTATTCTTTTTTAATGGCAGTCTGGCAACCAAATAAGTTTTCTTTGTATTACTTTTATTGCTTATTGTTGAGTAATTTTTAATTTATCCGGTACATTATAGGTAAATGTCATGCTTTCAAAAATTAATATATATATATATATATATATATATATATATATATATATGCGATATCTTCTACCAATAATTTAAATTATTTTTTATATCAAGATATATAATATATTAAGAATATATTTTTACGAAAAGGTAATTGCTTTTTTCATTAATTATTAATAATTTAAAAATACACGTTGTATTAATTAAAGAGACGTACCAAAAATATATGTTTAAATTAAATTGATTAATAGGACTCTATCGGAATTCTTTTCAAATGTTCTGTGTGTCGTTACTAATCTCTCCCCGCTCAAGCATTCAATAAGCGCCTTGCGATCATATATATAAGCCCTTGAATATCGATACAAGGTTAGTATAAGAGTGTTAGCAATCGACAACGCTTTATTTCGCTGTGTCCGATCATAAGGTAGAAATTTGTCGCTGGAATTTTTATGATTCTAAATTCCAAACGCAAGTAAATTTGCAAACATGTTTCGCATTTTTATGCTAGTTGCAACAATCTTTGTGATGATCGATGCGCAACTGCAGAGGTAAGTGCATATTGCATTGCATTATATGATATGATAAATATTGAGATTATAGAGATGATTTTTTTTTCGTATTTGCATCTAATTTTCTGGATTTAAAGCGAAGCTGGTACGAATGCAAATAACGATTGGACAAAATTATTTTACACAAATGTATTTATATTTATTAGTAAAACAATGGAAACATAGAGATTTATAGAAAAAAAGTGACTGTTTGTGAATTCGCAAAATTTGTCTATCTACCTTATAGTTTTGGTCTACATTTAATTGTCATTAACGTAAATGTATTATGATTCTAGATCAAAACACTTAAGTATAAATTATTGTTTCATGCGTAAGCAAATAAACTCTCAGTACCAATGCGTTATTTTGTACTGTTTGTTTACTCAGCTCTGAGTATATATTCTGCTTTTAGAACATTATTTTATTTGGAGTAATCTTCTTCTTTTAAGTTATAATGACTTTATTTTATATATATACATAGTACTTGAGCCATAAAGTAAACATTATTTCAAATATAAATGAAACGCTTTACTCATATAAGAAATCTAAAAAAGTAGCGGAGTTAATAAATGTTTCTAATATAGCTAATGCATAAAATGTATTGTGTAAAATATGTAAACCAAAACAGAATGTTCTTTATATTATTTCAAGGATTTTTTTACACAAAATGGATTCTATTCGATACACTTTGAACAACGGTGGCACTGATGACTATCCAATAACAATTTTTATGAACGATAGTTTGGTGTCTTCATACAAATATTTGGATGCTCAGTATTATGGTTTTATTTTTATCGGAACTCCGCCGCAGAAATTTAAAGTAATATTTGATACTGATACCTCAAATCTTTGGGTAACATCTACAAAGTGCACCCATTTGAACATTAGTTGCTGTAAGTAATTTATTAATATACACAGAGTGTCTGATTTAAGGTCACATCGAAAATATACAAGTAGATCTTGTTATTTGGCGATAAATTTTCCTCTGCAATTATTTCAAAAATTTTTTATTTTTAAAATTCCCTACTGCGATAGTTTTTGATATTACTTTCAATTTTTTACAGTAATTCATAGCAACTATGATAGTAAAAAATCCAGTACATATATACAAAATGATACTGCGATTGAAATTTCATGTGGCAGAGACTCTATGGCTGGATTTTTATCTACTGATGTAGTGAGTGTAAGTAATCATTAAACAAATAGACCAATTTAATCAAAGTAATCATAGTTTATAAACCCTTTTTAAGTATTTTTATACACTGCTATTCTCGTGATATTTTATTATTAATATACCAAATTATTTTCTTAGATTGCCGATCTCAATGTTCAAAATCAAACATTTGCGGAAGCAATGCACGACCGAATCTTTGCGTTCGTGTTTGGAAAATTTGATGGTATGTTGGGCATGGGTTTTAACATGTTATACGGCAACGAAGTAATATCTGTGTTCAACAATATAGTGAAACAAGGCCTAGTGTCATCAGCCGTTTTTAGCTTTTATTTGAATAAGTATGCATTTTCTTTTCATGCGTTGCGTATGTCTACAAATGTTTTTAACAAAAAAAATATATATGTATATATTACAATATGAAAAATATACAACCTGCACAGAGAATTGTCGACCGAATTCGATGGTGAATTAATATTGGGTGGTACCGATTCCGATTATTACGAAGGCGAGTTGACATATGTCCCTGTTAGTAAGAAGGGGTACTGGCAATTTACTATAGATAAGTACGTTATTTTCTAAATTAGTCTCATAATCATAATTACAACAAACTATTAATATTATTATTGTGTTGTAGGATCATAATATATCGTCATATTTTGTACGTGGATGCCACTCAAAGAATATATAAATATATCTTGTGCCCGAGTGGCTGTCAAGCTATCGCTAATATAGGTACCTCATTAATATATGGACCAACCAGTGATATCTCAATTATTAATGAATATATTGGAACTCTTTACATTAATGGAGAGCATAGAGTAAGTAAACAATTATTCTTTTCACAATGACATAGCTATCTGTAGAAAAATTTTAAAAAGTTACTCAAATATAAATTGATATTTGTGTTGTAAGTTGCTATTTCTTAATTTGAAATCTTTTTTTGTTTCAAGACATACTGCCCCGATGGAGACTATGTCATCGGGGAATATATGCCAGTAATTAGTTTTATTATAGGTGGTAAAATGTTCAATCTTACCAGTGAGGATTACATCCAACAGGTGAATATTATAGATTCTATAATAAATTTAAACTCAGAAATGTGTGTGATTATCGAATTGACCTTCATTTGACAATTATTTCTGGCTAGAAAATTATTTAAATTTAGAAAACTTACAATTTATGTGCGTGTTTCAATCTGAACAGGTGTCAAGAAAAGAGCACACGACGTGTAGAAGCGGTTTTGAATCGCAAAACACTACAAATATATCTTGGATTCTAGGCGATATATTTGTATATCGTTATTATAGTGTATTTGATTTTGAAAAAGGCCGAGTGGGATTTGCCCCAGCGAAATAAATGTCGATTGCTAATTCTTAAAATTATGTAATAAAAGACATCGCATTAAAATGATAACTTCGCGATTAATTTAGTAACGTTTTTATAATTTTTTAAAAAGTTTATTGACTATAGTAATTTTTTATTTATAGTTATGTGATACATTGTTATAAACGGATTTGTTTGTTTTGAAAAATTGAAATGAGAATAAATATGGAAAATATTTTCCATTTTTAATTTGATACATTTTCTTTTAATACACGCATTGTATTGTTATATTTCTGAAGACAAATAAATTTTAAAAAATGTATTTTACCATATACTTTATATATATATGTATAAACGTACCTATACATAATTGCATACGTTCATTTAAATAATTTTTAATTTCTTAATTTTTGTTCTCTTTCTGCTTGTTTATGTTATTAAAATTGCATGTATTACTTTTTTGTGCTTTGTAACTTATAAGATTTCCGAAGTTTGGCAAAGTATCTAAAGCCATACTGTGGGATGTAACGATTCTAACTTTTGGCATTCATGCATGGAATTCATAACGCGATACATAAACCGAATCTCAGGCAGCATTTAACACAATCTTTGTGTTTTAGTTTATTTAATTTTGAGTGCCCGAAAGTTCTGGGCAACGTTTAACCGTGCCAACGACAGACAGGTCGGTCCAGCTTTTGCCAAGTACTATGTTATCGGTTTATGTCGAGAAAAAGTTTCTGGTGCTACCGAAAGTCCGGGAACTTTATCAGTGTTTTAAAGAAAACTTCTTTTGTTTCGTATGGGTTATACTTATCGATCTTCATTTACAAGTTGCTTGATCGATGGTGAGTAGTAGTGTATACGAAAGTGTCAGAAAACCGGGGAAAGTAGATTCACTGCTCTCTCCTTACAGATCGAACTTTAAATTTAATATTTTCGGACACATCCGAGTGTCTAAAGTGAACTTCATCCTCAATCTCGTTTTCTTTCTAACTTTCCAAAAGTGGACATACAAGATTGGAATAACACAAAATTTAGGAAAATAATTATTTTCTAATTATATTTTGTGACAAGCTTTTTAAAAAAAGTTCAGGGATATTTTTAAATTTTAATTAAAAGTAAATATTACAAAAGTGACACTGTGAACAGGAAACTTGTTCGAAACTGTTCATTCTGTGAAGTTTTACTTTGCAGTTTAGATTAAGGTTCGGATAAGCCATCCCTAACACTAACCAGGTTAGGGTCAGGTTGTTTTAGATTAAGATCAGACTAACTTAGAACAAAGATTGTGGGCTAAGATAAAGTCAAAATTATCAATAATTTTTATGTTACTTCAACTTATGTAACTTTTTTATATACTTTTATATATATATATATATATAATCTATTATAAGTATATAAAATTGAAGAAAGATTGAAATAATATAAATTAGCAAGAAATTTAATCAATACTCGACAAGACTCTCAATTTTTATTCAACAACACTTGTGATCATTCTGCGTTGAAGGCATAAAAACGCACGTTCGACGACGACCGACAATTTAACGCGTCGGGGTCCCTCGTCCTAAACAATATTCACTTTCCACTCTGTTTAATCCGCGCGAAATCACCACCAGTCACCTTTTTCAGTCGCGCGCGCTGACACCCACCCGTCGCAAACGAACCATGCGAACATAACGCACTCCGGACCACGACGGCACAATCGCGGTGGGATTGCGGTCGACGTGAACGGTAGATATAGGGTATACGTATACACATATGTACACGCAGTGCCATGCAATTCAGATAGCCGTGAATAAGGAATGCCGCGGAATCCTTCGTAACGTGCATTTTTCTAAAATATTCTATGCGTAACCATTCCCAGCATTACGGCGTTTGCATAACGAAAATCAAGAGGGTACAACGGGACAGGTTCCCGGTGCCACCCTGACAGTAGAAGCGACCGATGGTAGCATGAAAACTGGTGCGCGGGAAAGCGGGAGATCGGGAGACAAAATCTTTCTCCCTCAAACGCCCCGGCGAGCCAGACATCCTGAAACCTCTCGCGTCACCTATGACGTTAAAACGCGGCAGTAAACGGCTGCGGGGCTCGCTGTCGGGCGGACCGAATAAAAGAATCAAGAGCACGTCGCGGAGGAAGAGTGCTCCGGACGGCGTGTTTCGCTCGTAAAGTCGCCCGCATCTCCCGACTGCAGTTAGCGTCATGCATTTTGGTGCAGAGGCGCGTTAAATGACGGTGAATACGATGAAGAATTCGCCGAGATATGTATATGTCGGATTGCGCGACGGATTGTTCCTCGATGATACGAGCGCAAAAAATTTTATGTCGCTTGATAGCACATTCCCTCGTTATTTGAATACGAGCGCTCATTAGGGCGTCGTTAAATGAGAACTCGTTCGCGGCATTATTCGCGAAACGACACGCGGAAGAAAAAATTTCGTGATGTGCGATCGTTGCAAGTGAATTACATAATTCAGAAAAAGATACTTCGTCTTATATATATCGATGGTCGTACACCTAAGTATTATATATATATATATATATATATATATATATATATATGTATATATATATGTAATAATCGTAATTTGATTTAAATTCTTTAAGAATAAAAGAAGCTTATACTCAATTCTTAACAGATCAAACAGTTTGGCATCAAGTCATGTATGAGCAGTTTCCAAGCATCTGACATGAGAATAGATGCAATGGATTCTAGACGATGCATTTATTGGCATTTTTTACACAGTTTTCGATATGGGCAATGATCAAGTAAGATTTGCCGTATCAAAATAAACATCGATTCCTATTTCATGTAATTACTGTTACACATATTTTTTTTGAATGACAATCTTGCAACTAATCAAGTTCTCTTTGTATCACTTCTAATGCATATTGTTGAGTAATTTTTAATTTATCAGGTACATTGTTATAGGTAAATATATGTCATATATTCAAAAATTAAAATAAAGATATATATGCGATATCTTCTACAAATAATTTAAATTAAAATATATAATATATTATTGTATATTAACATTTGACATACACGTATTTTGAATATAAATAAATAAGTTAAAATAAGATATATGTGTATTCTTTCTATACAATATATTTGTACTAATATCTAAAATTTCCAATTAAAATCAAATTTTATTTATTTTATTACATTAAATAAAACGATATCATATCTCGTTGTATATATCTCATGTGTTTGTAATCATTTATTCTTATTAAAATTTATTCATTAAATAAAAAAACTTTGATTTTTCTCAATGCTTGCTTAATAAATTTATATATTATCAACATAACTTTTTGCATTATTCGTACTAATTATGTTTAATATCCTTAAATATTGCACTACTTTTATGGTAAAAAGAAATGACATTATTGTCTATTAATTAAGTATTAAGAATATATTTTTGCGAAGAGATAATTGCTTTTTTCATTAATTATTTATAATTTTGTTAAAATACACGTTGTGTCAATTAAAAAGGCATGACCAAAAATATATGTTTAAATTAAATTCATCAACAGAACACTATCGGAAATCTTTCAAAGTTTTGTGTGTCGTTACCAATCTCTCCCCGCTCAAGCATTCAATAAGCGCCTTGCGATCATATTTATAAGCCCCTGAACATCGACACAAGGTTAGTATAAAAGTGTTAGCAATTAATAACGCTTTATTTCGCTGTGTCCGATCATAAGGTAGAAATTTGTCGCTGGAAATTTCATGATTCAAAATTCCAAACGCAAGTAAATTCGCAAACATGTTTCGCATTTTTATGCTAGTTGCAACAATCTTTGTGATGATCAATGCGCAATTGAAGAGGTAAGTGCATATTGCATTGCGTTATATGATATGATAAATATTGAGATTATAGAGATAATTCTTTTTTTCGTAATTGCATCTGATATTTGGATTTGAAGCAAAGCTTGTGTGAATGCAACATTTCAATAATGATTTGACGAAATTATTTTACAAAAATGTATTTTTATTTATTTATTAGTAAAAAATGGAGACATAGAATGTTATAAAAAAAGTGATTTTTTGTGAATTCGCAAAATTTGTCTGTCTTATAGTTTTGGTCTACATTTAATCATAATTAACGTACATGTATTATAATTCAGGATAAAAACACTTAAGTATAAGTTATTTTGTCACGCGTAAACAAACTCTCAGTATCAATGCGTTGTTTTGTACTGGTTGTTTACTCAGCTCTGAGAATATATTCTGCTTTTAGAATATTATTTTATTTGGAATTATCTTCTTCTTTAAGTTATAATGACTATTTTATATATATAATAATTGAGCCATAAAATAAACATTATTTCAAATATATATGAAACGCATAACTCATATAAGTAATCTAGAAAAATCGCGGAGTTAATAAACGTTTCTGATATAGCTAATGCATAAAATGTATTGTGTAAAATATGTAAACTAAAACAGAATGTTTTTTATATTATTTCAAGGATTTTATTACACAAGATGGATTCTATTCGATACATTTTGAACAACGGTGGCACCTGTAACTTTCCAGTAATTTCTATAAACGATCCTAGAGTGTCTTCATACAAATATTTAGATGCTCAGTATTATGGTCTTATTACTATCGGAACTCCGCCGCAGGAATTTAAAGTAATATTTGATACTGATTCCTCAAATCTTTGGATAACATCCGAAAAATGCGTCTATTACAACATTGGTTGCTGTAAATAATTTATTAATATATATAGCGTCTGATATAAGGTGGCACACCGAAAATATACAATTAGATCTTGTTATTTGGAGATAATATTTCCTCAACAATTATTTTAAAAAATTTTTATTTTTAAAATCATTTTATTGCGATAATTTCTGATATTTTCTTCTATTTTTTACAGTATTCCATAGCAAATATGATAGTAAAAAATCCAGTACATATATACAAAATGATACTGCGATTGAGATTTCATGTAGCAGGGACTCTATAGCTGGAATTTTATCTACTGATGTAGTGAGTGTAAGTAATCATTAAACAAATAGGCCAATTTAGTCAACACAGACGTAGTTTATAAAATCTTTTCAAGTATTTTTATAGACTGCCATTCTCGTGATATTTTATTATTAATATATCAAATTATTTCTAGATTGCCGGTCTCAATGTTCAAAATCAAAAATTTGCGGAAGCAATGCAGGTTCGAAGCGTTGCGTTCATGTATGGAAAATTTAATGGTATATTGGGCATGGGTTTTAACATGTCATACGTCAACAAAGTAATACCTGTGCTCTACAATATAGTGAAACAAGATCTGGTATCATCAGCCGTTTTCAGCTTTTACTTTAATAAGTATGCATTTTCTTTTAATGCATTGCGTATGTATAAAAATGTTTTGGACAAAAAATATACATATATTACAATATAAAAAATATACAACCTGCGCAGAAATTTTTCGGCCAAGGTCGGTGGTGAATTAATATTGGGTGGTACCGATCCCGATTATTACGAAGGCGAGTTGACATATGTTCCTGTTAATGAGAAGGGATACTGGCAATTTACTATAGATAAGTACGTTATTTTCTAAATTATTGTCATAATCATAATTACAACAAATTGTTAATATTATTATTGTGCTGTAGGATCACAATATATAATCATATTTTCTACGTGGATGGCCGTGAAGAAATAAAAAATCATACCTTGTGCGCGCATGGCTGTGAAGCTATCGCTAATACAGGTACTTCATTAATATATGGACCATTTAGGGACGTCTCAATTATTAATGAGCTTATTGCAACTATTTATTGGAACAATTATGGAGAGCATAGAGTAAGTAAAACAATTATATTTTTCACAATAACATAGCTATCTGAAGAAGAATTATAAAAAGTTACTAAATTATAAATTGATATTTGTGTTGTAAGTTGCTATTTCTTAATTTGATATTCTCTTCTGTTTAAAGATATATTGCTTCAAGAAAGACGCTGCTAATATGCCAGTAATCAGTTTTATTATAGGTGGTAAAATGTTCAATCTTACAAGTCAGGATTACATCCAACCGGTGAATATTATAGATCTTATAATAGATTTAAACCCAGAAATAATTGTCGAGTCGACATTGATTTGACAATTATTGTTGGCCAGGAAATTATTTGAATTTAGAAAACTTACATTTTTTCTGTGTACTTCAATCAGGTGTCAAGAAATGATTACACGATTTGTAAAAGCAGTTTTGAATCGCAAGGCACTACATCTTGGACTCTAGGCGATATATTTCTTAGACGTTATTATAGTGTGTTTGATTTAGAAAAAAGCCGAGTGGGATTTGCCCCAGCGAAATAAATGTCGATTGCTATTTTTTTAAATAATATAATAAATATCATCGTATTTAAATAATAACTTCGCGATTAATTTAGTAACTTTTTTATAGTTTTTTAAAGTTTATTGACTAGTAATTTTTTATTTATAGTTTTGTGATACATTGTTATAAACGGATTTATTTAATTTGGAGAATTGAAATGAGGATATATATGGAAAATATTTTCTATTTTTAATTTGATATATTTTCTTTCAATTCACGCACTGTATTGTTATATTTATGAACACAAATAAACTTAAAAAAATGTATTTATCTATATACTTTATGTGTATATATATATATAAATTAATTTTTTGTTGGAGATAAACGAAAATGTGCACCAGTCACATATTACAATTTTTTGCATTATTTGTGCTAATTATGTTTTGTATTCTTAAATATTGCACTACTTTTATTGTAAAAATAAATGGCCTTATCGTCTATTAATTAAGTATTAAAAATATACTTTTGCGAAGAAGTATTTGCTTTTTTTATTAATTAAATGATAATTTTGTTAAAATACATGTTGTATTAATTAAAGAAGTATATCAAAAATATATGTTTAAATTAAATTGATTAATAGAAATCTATTGAAATTCTTTTTAAATGTTTTGTGTGTCGTTACCAATCTTTCCCCGCTTAAGCATTTAATAAACGCTTCGCGATCATATATATATATATATATATATATATAAGCCCCTGAATATTGATACAAGGTTAGTATAAGAATGTCAGAAATCGACAACGCTTTATTTCTCTGTGTCCGATCATAAGGTAGAAATTCGTCGCTGCCAATTTTGTTATTCGAAATTCCAATCACAAGTAAATTTGCAAACATGTTTCGCATCTTTATGCTAGTCGCAACGATCTTTGTGATGATCGACGCGCAATTGCAGAGGTAAGTGCATATTGCATTGCATTATATGATATGATAAATATTGAAATTATAAAAATGACTCTTTTTTTCGTAATTGCATCTAATTTTTTGGATTTGAAGCAAGGCTTGTGTGAATTCAATTAACGTTTCAATAACGATTTGACAAAATTATTTTACAAAAATGTATTTTTATTTATTTATTAGTAAAAAATAGAGATATAGAATGTTTTATAAAAATTGATTCTTTGTGAATTTGCAAAAATTGTCTGTCTACCCTACAGTTTTGGTCTACATTTAATTCATTAACGTACATGTATTATAATTCGAGATAAATACACTTAAGTATAAGTTATTTTTTCACGCGTAAGCTATAAACTCTCAGTACCAATGCGTTGTTTTGTACTGTTTGTTTACTCAGCTCTAAGTATATATTCTCCTTTTAGAATATTATTTTATTTGGAGTTATCTTCTTCTTTTAAGTTATAATGACTTTATTTTATATATATAATACTTGAGCCATAAAATAAACATTATTTCAAATTTATATAAAACGCATAAATCATATAGGTAATCTAGAAAAATCGGGGAATTAATAAATGTTTCTGATATAGCTAATGCATAAAATGTATTGTGTAAAATATGTAAACTAAAACAGAATGTTCTTTATATTATTTCAAGGATTTTATTACACAAAATGGATTCTATTCGATACACTTTGAACAACGGTGGCACCGGTGACCGTCTAGTAGTTTCTATAAACGAACCTAAGTTGTCTTTATGCAAATATTTAGATGCTCAGTACTATGGTCTTATTACTATCGGAACTCCGCCGCAGGAATTTAAAGTAATATTTGATACTGATTCGCCAATTTTTTGGATATTATCCGAAAAGTGCGCGTATTTCAACATTGGTTGCTGTAAGTAACTTATTAATATATACAAGGTGTTTGATATAAGGTATCACACCTTAAATATACAAGTAGATCTTGTTATTTGGAGATAATTTTTCCTCAGCAATTATTTAAAAACATTTTTTTAAATCTCTTTATTGCGATAATTTCTGATATTACTTTCTATTTTTTACAGTATTCAGTAGCAAATATAATAGTAAAAAATCTAGTACATATATACAAAATGATGCTATGATTCAGATTCCATGTGGCAAAGACTGTACGACTGGATTTTTATCTACTGATGTAGTGAGTGTAAGTAATCATTAAACAAATAGGCCAATTTAATCAATTACAATCATAGTTTATAAACCCTTTTCAAGTATTTATATACACTGCTATTCTCGTGATATTTTATTATTAATTTACCAAATTATATTTCTAGATTGCCGGTCTCAATGTTCAAAATCAAACATTTATGGAAGCAATACACGATCGATGCTTTGCGTTCGTGTATGGAAAATTTGATGGTATTTTGGGCATGGGTTTTAACATGTCATACGTCAACAAAGTAATACCTGTGTTCTACAATATAGTGAAACAAGATCTGGTATCATCAGCCGTTTTCAGCTTTTATTTGAATAAGTATGCATTTTTCTTTCATGCATTGCGTATGTTTAAATATATTTTTAACAATATATATATATATATATATATATATATAATATATATATATATATTACAATATGAAAAATATACAACCTGCGCAGAGATTTGTCGGCCAAGGTCGGTGGTGAATTAATATTGGGTGGTACCGATCCCGATTATTACGAAGGCGAGTTGACGTATGTTCCTGTTAATAAGAATCGATACTGGCAATTTACTATAAATGTGTACGTTATTTTCGAAATTATTCTCATAATTATAATTACAACAAACTGTTAATATTATTATTGTGCTGTAGGATCAGAGTACGTCATATCTTGGACGAGGAAGGCTATCCAGCAATACATGGATATATCTTGTGCCCGAGTGGCTGTCAAGCTATCGTTAATGCAGGTACCTCATTAATATATGGACCAACTAGTGACATCTCAATTATTAATCAACTTCTTGGAACTATTTACATTAATGGAGAGCATAGAGTAAGTAAACAATTATACTTTTTACAATGACATAGCTATTTGTAGAAAACTTATAAAATATGACTAAACTATAAATTGATATTTGTGTTGTGAGTTGCTATTTCATAATTTGATATTGTCTTTTGTTTAAAGGTAAACTGCAGCAAAATAGACTCTGCTGAAATGCCAGTAATCAGTTTTATTATAGGTGATAAAATGTTCAATCTTACTAGTGAGGATTACATCCAACCGGTGAATATTATAAATCCTATAATAAATTTAAACCTAGAAATGATTGCCGAATCAACGTTGATTTGACAATTATTGTTGGTTATAAAATTATTTAAATTTAGAAAATTTACTTTTTTTCTGTGTGCTTTAATCAGGTGTCAAGAAATGATCACACGATTTGTAGAAGCAGTTTTGAATCGCAAGACACTACATCTTGGACTTTAGGCGATATATTTCTTAGACGTTATTATAGTGTATTTGATTTGGAAAGAGGCCGAGTAGGATTTGCCCCAACGAAATAAATGTTGATTGCTACTTCTTAAAATTATATAATAAAAGACATCGCATTTAAATGATAAATCCGCGATTAATTTAGTAACTTTTTTATAGTTTTTTAATGTTTATTGACCAATAATTTTTTATTTATAGTTTTGTGTCACATTGTTATAAACGGATTTATTTGTTTTGGAGAATTGAAATGAGAATATATATGGAAAATATTTTCTATTTTTAATTTGATATATTTTCTTTGAATACACTCACTGTATTGCTATATTTCTGAACACAAATTCTAAAAAATGTGTTTTTCCATATATTATATATATATATATATATATATATATATATATACATATATAAACGTACCTATATAATTACATTTAAATAATTTTTAATTTCTTAAATTATCTTGTTCTTTTCTACCTTTTTGTTATTAAAATTCCATGTATTACTTTTCCTGTGCTCTCTAACATATATTATAAGATTTCCGAGATTTGGCAAGTATCTAAAGCCATACTGTGGGATGCAACGATTCTAACTTTTGGCATTCATGCGTGGAATTCATAACGCGATACATAATCCGAATCTCAGACAGCATTTAACACAATCTTTGTATTCTAGTTTATTTAATTTTGAGTGCTCGAAAGTTCTGGGCAACGTTTAACCGTGCGCTCATTAGGGCGTCGTTAAATGAGAACTCATTTGCATTATTCGCGAAACAACACGCGGAAGGAATAATTTTGTGATGTGCGATCGTTGCACGTGAATTACTTAATTCAGAAAAAGATACTTCATCTTATATGGTATATATCGATAGTCGTACTCCTCTCGCGCGATTTACTTGCATTTTTACGAACTTTTCTATCTTGATGGAAATCGAGTTATTGCGCATAAATATCCAATAGATATCGAGACTTTCTTGCCATAATATCAATACTCTTCAAAATAATGTGTGGAGATAAAGGAGCAAATATTCTACATTTGTAATATTTTCTTTTCACTCTTCCTTCTTCTCTTCAACTCTGATTTTTAGTCGGTAAAGTGCTGTTTGTTTCAAAATATTGATGTAACTCCGTTGAGGAAAATAATGACATAAAACATATGTTATCTTAAAATAAATGAATACTTGAAATTATTCTCTCTCGAAACTCTCAACGTTATAATACACAACAGAATCCAATAAAAATACCAATTATTATGTTTCTCTACATAATGTGTGTTGAAGATTGTAGCTATTTACATTTACGATTTTTATTATACAGAATTAAATAAACGGTCTATTGTATACTTTTAAACGTTTTTGAATCAAATTAACTATATATTTTTTAAGGTATTTTTTATATTTCCGCTTTATTTTACAATAGAAAAATTTGTCTATTTAATGCAAAGAAAATTAAAAAAAATAACATTTATAAATAAATATACTCTTTTTTTCCAGCATCAGCAATAACCGTTCCATTTTTTTCATTCTTGCAGCTTTCAATTTTTTTTCTATATTTCTTATGTTTTAAAAAAGAAATAATTTAATCAAGAAAAACTTCAAATGTTCAACAATTCTAAACGTAATAATGCCTAGTAAAATATTTGAAAAATTGCGTTTTAATCATATTCGAAACAAAAAAGAACAAAAAAAGAATCATGGTCACTCGTATCATAAAGTTAATGCCATATCCGATAATTGTAATCAACGTATAATTTTATTACGTATTATTGCAAAATGATATCATCCACCTTGTTCGCCTTGTTTTATATCACGGATGTAAAATCCATTCGGGGCAAATGTA